GCCAGTTTTGACTGTTTGGGGCCCGTTTTTGGACTCTGCTCGAATTCAGTTCAGTTGAGTTGTGTCGAGTCGCGGTTGATGCATACGAACGGAAGTGCAGTGAAAACCGGAACACGGAAGTTCAAACAATACTCACTTTTATATTGTTAAAAAAAAAGAAAGGAATAAGTATCGAAGCAAGAAAATAAAATAAAAATTGTGTTCACATGCAATATTTGTTCATTTGATTGAAGTGTTTCGGTAAATAAACAAAGCAAAGTACTGTGCAGTGTATCGGATGGAACGACATGTACATAATTAGCCGAAAGTTTTGAGTGTTTATGTTAATGATGCTTGTTGACCAGAATGGCGTTGAAAGCTAAGGCGCTTACTGAGTGTGTGTTTGGTTATGTTTGTCGTAGTGTTATAAAATTGTATTAGCTGGAAAAAATATATAGAGCAATTTGACAAATGCAATTAAGTGCATGTGGAAACGGAATTGGATAGCGTTAAAATTTTTGAGAGATTTGAAAAAAAACGCAACCACATAAAAGAGTTTCTATTGGCATAGAACGAAGCTGAGTGGGGTCAACGAATTGGAGAAAAGGTAGGTCAATGCTTGCATTTAATAATGAAAAAAAGTTGTTTCGTTTAATCTCGCATTCTTTTGCAATTATTATTAGTTTTTATTATATTATTGTATTTTCTTTACTGAAACTGGTTTGTTTTAAGTATTATTTCAATGGCTTTTATAATTTAAATAAAATAAAGTTGGACAATTTTAATGACTGAATTCGGAAAAAGAATTAAAATCTCAAAATTTTTTCAATGTAAATTTTTGCATCGCTGTAAACTCTCTTTAATTTTTTGACTGGCTAAGGTAGAAAAAAGGTCCAAACCAGCATTTCTTTGCCATTTTGGGATATTTAAATGCATTTTTAATAGCTTCAAGTAAAGTAGAAACATATGCAGCAATTTTACTGAGTTTGAGGCCATTTTTTAATGAAAAATTGTTGTGGAAAAACAACAACAGTTCACAAATGGTAGAAGTTATAGTTGCTATACCATATCTCATTGACCGCGACAAAAAGGTCTGTTAGGGAGATGTGGTGATCTCCGAAATATTAGCAGCTATAACTTCTACCATTTATGAACTGTTATTGTTTTTCCACAATAATTTTTCATTAAAAAACGGCCTCAAGCTCAGTGAAATGGTTGAATATGACTTGCTATTAAACCTATAAATAAATAGCAAACAGAAAAATACTTAAGGACGGAAGACAACTTCAAGTTAAAAATCTAATAAAAACAGCAAAATAGAACCTTTTTTTGGAATTTTTTAAGTTAAAGTTCTATTTAAAATAGTTTGTTTACCTTTTTAACTTCGCGAAATAATTATTAAACATTTTTTAATTCTCAACTTTTATAAATAATTGGAAGAAGTTATCAATTTGTTGGATTTTTTTATGTATGCTACCGCATAACTTTGGACCGTGTTAATCGACTTCTATAATAGAGGTGGTTCCATAATAATTTGGTTTAGATCCGATCATTGGATCATGAAAAAATTAACGGTACTCTAAAAGTTTTATATGAGAATTGAAGTCGGTTTTGATGTTTGGTTAAAAATTATTTGTTAATTTCTTCATAATCCAATGAACTGGTTACTAAAAAGTTTTTAATTTCTTGAGCGCGTATGATATGAATTTTTCGTTTTTTTTTTTTTGAAAAGCTGAATATTATGCTTGCTTAGATAAAAAAATTACTACAAGAAAGTTATCTATAAACTAATTATACTCCAAGGACACCAAAAATTTCACAAAAAACGCCGAGATACGTAATTTTGAGTCGTAGTTTACGGATCTGTATACCGTTTTCATAGATCAGCTCATTTTCCCAAAATGTTTTCATTTTAAGTTTGCATTGCGAATGAAAAAAATTTAAACTTTAACATGTAAAATATTTATCACTCATACGCCGTGTACGCATATGTCTTTGCGAGTACGGCCATGTACGATATGGCGTATGAGTAACATTATTTGCTGCCCCTATTTCATACGAAACATTATTCCACAGTCTCATTTGACCATTCACAACTTGTTTATTTATCCATCGATTCTCAGCGTTGGTAGCTTGATTTTTTTGCAACCGTACAGGCTTTAATACAAATTCAAAAAAAAATATATATATATAAAAGATTTTTTATTTTTAATTTTTTCTTGTTAAATTTTTTCATTTTTTTTTCATAAAAATTTAGATATTTTTAACATATGATCTTAACTGGATAAACGGTATAATATTATTTGTTTCGGCGTTTTCTTGTGCCATTCGAAAACTTGTTAGTCTCCCTACAGAGTTATCAATAAATCAGGGAATCAGGAATTGAAAATTAATAAAAGTAAAAAAACTGTGTTGAATTTAGACAACATCTTAAAACATATACCGCTAGCTTAGAGCGAAAACTTGCTAAGTCCACTTTTTACGAAAACTCATATTTTGATATAGGAGTCTAGAGAAATTAAAAATGCATCGTTTCGAAAATTATAAAGACACTTATTTAATTTTTTCCTCTTCATATGCAATAAAAGGAAAATTTTCTAAGTACGAAAGAAGCATCTCAAATCTGATAAGGCAAAAATAAAACGAAATTTTTTAATAAAGATCGAATCCTTCTGATTCTTATGGAGTTTTGCTTTGCTTTAAACACGTAAAATCTTGTATTCAAAGTCTTGCGAAATAGTTGAAGAAAGGAAGTTTTTTTCCTCTACTGTAAAATTTTCAAAATGGGACTTAGAAACTTTTCTTTCTAAGCTAGCGATATATGTAAAAAAAATTATATCCCCATATCTTAGCAAATCAAAAAATGGTATTATCCTTTGAGAACCAAATCGAAATATACATAATATTTCCATGATTACGCGATAAAATATGGTATTCCAAAAAATTTGTATTTTTCATGATTTAATTATTTACTAAAAAGTTACTGGGGTCATGCATTGATTTTCATAGTTTTTATTGACTTAATGGGTAGAATAAAGGCACAAGGCGAAATTAAGTTTTTTTCTTTTTCTAGAATAGTGACAACTTTAAAAAACTAAAACTGAAGGAAACTTTATTCACTTGATGACTTAAGATTTGCTGATGTTTAAAGAAATTAATTATTGTTTCCCTGAGTTGAGCTAATATCGCAAGTGTGTGATTTAATAAATACATAGTTCCTCTTTTTAAAGAATTCGCGCAGAAAGCTCTGAAAGGATTTTCCCTCTTCTTTTCTCTACAGCTGGGCACTGGCCAAGAAATTAGTAAATAATTCGCGTGAAAACTATATCAAATCGAAACATATATATCGAAACGAATGTATGTATACATCTTTTGAGCTTAATGTACGTAAACACAAAAAGCGATGCTGTCTCGAGCGGAGTTAATCCGAGTGGAGCGAAAGTGTTTGTGGCAAAACTGAACTGTGAAGCTGGACGTTTTACAAGAATCTGGTGGTAATAATTACGCAAATCTACACTTCAACGATAAAAAAAACAATTGATGAGCACTATACGCTTGAATTCTTTGATTGGTAAAATTTTCCAGTTACACTAATATAATAGTTTATGTTTTTTTACTTCGGGCCGGATAAAAATTTGTTTAAAAAACTACTTTGTTTGGGCCGGTTTTTCCCGAAAGATTTTTTTATGGAAGTCAACAATGATCTGCAAAGGCTGAAGCGTTTAATTGCTTTTTCGAAATTTCTTTCGAAAAGTTTGGATGCAATATCGATCTATAGCTCAATTGTTAAATATAATTTAAAATACAAATGCTGAAGTCTAGAAAAAAGAAGTCTGATTAGGACTTTGTTAGAGGCTTTGTTGCTTTGTTAGACTTTGTTGCTTTTTCAATTTTTCCTAACAAACAATCGTGGTACAAAGCTCAATAAAAATATTAAAAATAAAAAAATGTTAGCAAGCCACAATAACATTGATAAAATACAAATAGTTTGAGTTCTCGTTGAGAGCAAAGTGAGTTTGCTGAAAAATAAAAAGGGTTTCAAATCCGACAAAAATATTTCTTTTAGCGTTCCACGCCTTGGAAAAAATTTGCTTCCTTTATGCAGTGTGTAAGCTTCGCTCAGCTTGGACTATCTCGCTCGGCAAAACTTTAAGTTCTATGACTATGACACGTTTGAAGGATGTTTTGCTATTATTTTCATAGAGGAAATTATATACGTCAAAAATGACCACCATGGCGTATGAGTAATTACCTAGTACCTATAGATGATCATAAAATTATTTCAGGACTGAAAATATGTGATTTTCAGCACTTTAAATCGAATAGTAGTCATTTCAAAAAAAAAAACAGAATTATATTTGGTTACAAATGATTTGATACAAATATATGACAATCGTGTTTCTCGGAAACTTATTTTCGAACGTAGCTCACCCACATGTCACAGAGTGGACCAGTCGAAAAAATTCCTTAGTGGATAATGGCATACTTACCTTCTTGTCCACAAAATGAAACTGATTACAATAATGAAATATCCTATCTCGCATTTTGACAGGAATTATTTTTAATTAATTAAAAACTATTGGCTGCCATTTCAAAACCGCCCTACATCAACATACTTATTTTCAATTGAGATGGGGCGTTTTTCAAACAAATTCTGAAGCAAGGCGTTCTTGAGCCATTTTCTGAGATAGAACGTTTTCGACCCGGTCGCCGAGATAGGTCGATTTTCCCCTGACCCGTTGAAATAATATTACTCATACGCCGTGTATCAACACGTTTGATCAAATCTAATAAGATAACAATAACAATTAATTACGCGAAATTTATTAGTCGCATTGCAGTCTATATATCTTCGCCCGGATAAATTAATGTCGTGTGTTACATTTGACGGCTTTTGGGAAATCCCTATGGAAGTTTGGAATTTAATTTCTCAAAAACCGCGATCATAGATTTTCTCAAAAGCTAAAAATTTCTTGAACTAAATATTTTGTTTAATTGATCATTATTAATAATTTTTGAGTTTAAGAAGGAATTTCTTTAGTAGAATTTTGACGTATGCAAGATAAAATGTGATAAAAATGTGTACTAAATAAACGAGATACAATTTTACTCACTATCACCGAGGCTAAAATAGATATTGAAAATAGATAACGCTACTTGAAAGATATTCACTAATTTAGAGTAACTGCATTAATAAACTAATTTTTTTCATGCGAAATTTATTTTTCCGGCACCGATATACATATGTATATTTTTGTACATACATACATATGTACATGCAAAATAATATTATGTTCGTTTGCTCGGCAGGGAAAAACTCGGAACGGGCTTGAGCGATTTCAATAAACTTTATCAGATTTATCCCCTATAAAATCTGGATGGTTTAAAATAAAAAAATTGAGAGTTGCCACCTGTTTGAAAAGTTTCCCACTTGTTTCAAAAATTGAATTAAATTGATTAATAAGGTAAAAGAAATGCTGGAATAGGGGTGTCAAAATAAAGTGGTTTAAGAAAGCTTAATGTGGAATATATTTTTAAAGGGGGTTGCCACCTGGTTTAAAATAAATAAATTGAGAGTTGCCACCTGTTTGAAAAATTTATATTAAT